GCTTTCAAGGTATGTTCCATGATCACCATCTCTATGCGCAACCATACCTTATAACCATAAGTGATCTAGGGATTTTATCTTAAGTGCAATTATAAGATAAATGCTTTCTCTTAAGATAAAGAAATGCCTTATTCATAATATAATTCCAATAGACTGTATTTACAAGTAGAATACGTCCAATTAGATTGGAACGCCGGGTACCCTACTCTAACACAGGTAATGCATGAAGTACAGCTTTCAGTAATACTTCATTTTCTACTGTGGAAAGGAATTAATTCTTCCAGTTGAGAATTCTTTTTTCAACAGCTTGAGCAATGTAAGAGAAGGTTTCTGTTTTGTTTTTCCCTATGCCTAGGGGCAAACCTAGATATCTGGAGGATTTTTTAGGGTTGATGCCCAGAAGGATATGACAGATAGAGTTTTGTATAGTGGGGGAGAGGGGTGTTTATGCTGAAGAAAATGGAAGACTTGTTCAAGTTGACTTTTTGGCCTGTGATTTTCTGATAATTTGTGAGGATTGAGGATAAGGTAATAGCTTGATTAATATCAGCTTTAGCAAAAAGGAGTGTGTTGTCGACAAAGAACAAATGGGTAAGGATGGGGCCAGATTTGGAGAGCTTGATGCCTTTAAGTTTTCAAGAAAGGATTTTTTGTTGTATAAGATGAGACAAGATTTTAGAAATTAAAAGGAAAACATAAGGGGATAGTGGGTCACCCTGTCTATTCCCTCTGGAAGGGGTCACAAAACCACAGGATTCACCATTCACATTAAAAGAAAAGCAAGCAGAAGAGAAGCAAGAAATGATACAGTTAACAAAAGCAGAGTTAAAACCCAGTTTAAGCATGATAAGACTAACACTCTTCCACTCCACTCTATCAAAATCTTTCTCCATATCAATTTTCAGAGCCATATAGCAGGAGTTGCCACTTCTATGTCTATTGAAAAAATGTATGACTTCATGGCTGAGGATGAATTTATCTAGTATTTGCCTATTATGGACAAATGCTTCTTGATTTTCACTAATACATAATGAAAGACAAGGTTTCAGGCTGTTGGCAAGCAGCTTAGCAATTCTTTTGTAGGTGACACTACATAAGCTTATAGGTCTGTATTGAGAGACGGATTGTGGGTGCAGGGATTTGGGTACGAGAGTGATCAAGGTGTGATTAATACGTTTAAGAAGTCTACCTGAGTCAAAAAAACTTTTAACCACATCACATAACTCTACATGAATAAGATACCAGAAGTTTTGAAAGAAGAGGGATGTCATACAATCAATGCCTGGGGCTTTGTTTGGGTTGATACTGAATAATGCTTCCTTGATTTCGTCATCCCTAATAGGTGCCACTAGTTCAGAGTTCATATCCTTGGTAATTGCTGGATTTGGATTGTGAAGAATCTTATCTCCCTCTGTAGAGCCTTCTGAAGTAAAGAGCTTGGCATAGTAATCTTCAATACATTTAGCCATTTCCTCCCGTTCTTCACTGATGGTGGAGTCTTCTCTGGTAAGTTTGGTAATCTTGTTCTTTCTCCTCCTTTGGACTGTTTGGGCATGGAAAAATTTGGTGTTTTTGTTTCCATGTTTGAGCCAGTGGACCCTTGCTTTCTGTTCCCAATATTGCTCTTCATAGCTATAAGCAGAGTTCAATTCTGTTTTGAGACTGTACCATTTAGCCCAGTCAATGAGATTTCCATTGGTCCTCATATCAGCTAGATGACTATGGAGACATTCAATTTTCCTTGCATTAGCAGTTTTGAAGCTGCTACTCCATTTCAGAAGTTCCGCTCTAGTTTCTTTCACTGTAGCTTGGAATTGGAACATTGGAGTCCCGGTTTGGAATGTGGCCCACCCCTTTTCAACTGTTTCCTTAATCCTTGGTTGAGAGAGCCACCTTCGATCAAAAAAGAATCTTTTCTTCTTGGGAATTTGACCTTGAGAGCAATCTAGCATTAGGAGGCTGTGGTCTGAGGCACTCTTAAAAGATGTTATGAACTGCATCATTAGGAGAAAGAGAGGTCCAGTGCAGTTATCCAAAGAGCCTATCTAATTTTTCTTTAACATATCCTTATGCCTCTCTGTTGTTACCCCAAGTGAATGGGTTGTTGGGTTCGCTAATACCGTACGGGCTTTAAGCAGCGGAATTTAAAATTTTTCAAAATAAGTATTTATCGTATAAATACAACACCCGTACATAGTAATTGCGAATTAACTGATCGTCATCTTTAAAACATGCATCATATACAAATTTTGATTTGTTATATAAAATAAATACAAATACAAAGTATTTACCGAATGTCTTGAACTCCTTCAACGACGATGTGGATTGTGGGAATCGGTTCCTGGTTTGATAACTTCAACGGATTGATGTTACTCACTTTAGGAATCCAAGTGTCTTCCCTCTAAACGTATCCACCCTATGAAGCCCGGTTCCGACGACCTTCCTTCGCTAGTAGGAATGTCTCGGTTTTCTTGTATAGGAATATGTATGAATTTTATTTTGGGAATTTTCAAGAACTCTTTCTTGATGTTTATGAAGAACTATTCTTCTTTCTAACACTTAGAAATTTTAGGAATGAATTCACCTTAAATGCAAAACCATTTTGCATCTATTTATACTAAACATTTTAGCATAAAATAATCAACATTTAGTAATATTTAAATAAAATCAGATTTTATTTAAATAATATTTACTAACTATTGACTTTGAATTTACTAACTATTGACTTTGAAAATAATAAATAATGTTAAGTGGTTCAAACCACCTTTAACCACCATTTTATTATAATCATATTTATTATTTTAATCCTTAAATCATATTTAAAGATAAAAATAATAATAGAATAATAAATCTTGAGAATCTTTTCAAGACTTTATTATTATATTCATTTTCCCAATTTACATCCATATTATAATAATCATATTATTATTATTTTGGTTTGGAAATTTAAAATCCAATTTTAAATTCCAACATATTAATTTAGTAATTACCTTAATTACTAAAGTAATATCCAAAATGTAATTAATCAATCTTATTGATTAATATATTCCTTTTAATTGATATCTAATCAAATTAGATTATGTCAATTAATTCTAACTCTTTAGAAATACAATTTTTCACCTTTGTTCATAATAGGTGTGACCTTTTAGGTTCACCTTAATACTAGTAGTGGGTTTACAACTCTTTGTAATTTGAGTTAATCACATTAACTCTTATTCATGAATTAACCCTTTAATTCAAGAACCCACATATCATGGGAACACCTAGCAAGTAGCATGAATCTAGTATTAAGTGAATAGCGAGTAAACCTATTCCGATTACAACTCCATACATGTAAAATCCTTTCGACATCTAATTTCCCGATTAAGTCTTGGGTATGATTTTGTCGAAACCCAAATTGACTTAATAACTATGATTCTATTTCAAGTTTATTAACCCGGTTATGAATCACTATTCATCTCTGCCTTGGCCAAGGACTTTGGATTAATAACTATGAAACACATAGGAAATTCACTTATCTTCATAAGTGTCGAATCCTTTATTGGCCACTAACAAACTTCCATACATATTAACATAATACCCAACTTATCCCTTTAAACGATAGTGCTAGCTACCAAAAGGATAAATCAAAGTAGAATGTAATATGCACAAAGTTACCATTGTGCCTCAAGTCTTAGGATTAGTCATGTACTATTGTAACATGAAAATTCTTATTCGACTGAATAAATTCTTCATTAAGAATTTTCATACGGTCATGTTCAGTGAACTTGTTCTCTAACAAGCACCCACATAAATGTACTTACGTCTTACGCTAATGTTGATGGAATGCAACATTCTTGTCCAACAAGCGTACAAACTATGTGCAAGTCTTTTATGGATTATTCGATATCCCATCTCGAAACATCCATCGACTTGGAACTGTATTTAAGATCACGGCTTTCAAGGTATGTTCCATGATCACCATCTCTATGCGCAACCATACCTTATAACCATAAGTGATGTAGGGATTTTATCTTAAGTGCAATTATAAGATAAATGCTTACTCTTAAGATAAAGAAATGCCTTATTCATAATATAATTCCAATAGACTGTATTTACAAGTAGAATACGTCCAATTAGATTGGAACGCCGGGTACCCTACTCTAACATGGGTGACCCACCATAGTGATTTCTAACATGTCCATATTGCTGAAAAAATTCCTAAAGCGCTGCATAGAAGATGTGGACCTAGCTCTCCCACATATTTTCTCTTCTTGACTCAGTATGTCATTTAGGTCCCCTCCAAGAAACCAGTGACTTCCCCAATTCTTTTTGGCTTTAATCAAATACTCTCGTTGTTCCATTCTGAGATGGTTATCTGTGCTGGCATAGATGAAAATTCCCCAACAGATAGTGTCCTTGGTGTGATCCCAAAACTCGACTTCCAAATAAAACTAGTGCTTGATAATACTGCGCACCTGAGTGACTCTGTTCCAGCAAAGAAAAAGACCACCACTTTTTTCTAAGGGTTCCACTATAGTCCAGCAGTCATCTACTTTTAAATTATTTCAAACTGTTTGTAAGAATTTGTTTTTTTTTTTTCATTTACAGAAAATTTTGGTGATGGAGCCGCCAAGTCTTGTTGATTTGGGAAACCATAAAAGGGCCACCTGCACCTCTACAGTTCCATACTGCTACTTTCATTGGTCACTCTGTAGCTCTTGAAGGATGGCCACATTCACCTCAGAAGAAGCAGACTTTTGTTTCTTAGGAGAAAGTTCAGGTTGCACTTGTGAGTTGAGAAGGATGGTGTCAGTATCAACTGTAATAGTGAGGCTGCTTTTCTTTCTTGTGGTTAGATGGGGATAGATTGTCTTTTTGGCTAGTTGCTGGAGCTGGTTTCCTTTTCCATCCCCGTCGTTTTCCACTGCTTGGTTGATAGGATTGTCGGACAATATTGTCAGTTGCATTAACCATGTTGCTGGAAGAAGGCTGGGTATTGTTGTGTTCTCTGGTAAATGAGAGTATAGAACCAGACTGCGGTTGTGTATATTGTGGTTGAGGTTGTGTTATGGTAACAGAAGGGTTAAGAGTGGAGAGAGTAAGAGTGTTGTCACACTCTATTAGTTGAACCGTGGGGGTACTTAATGAAGGTGAGTGGGGGTTTGGGTTAGGGTTATTAGTTTGAGAAGGGGAGAGGGATGAGGAGATAGGATTAGGTGTATTTGGCTTATCCGTGTGAGGAGGCACAGTGTTGGACTTTTTCTCGCTTGAGTTACTGTTAAGAGGAGTGGGGGACGTGGTTACATTGTGGCTAGAGGGAGTGAGTAGAATGTCTCTGGGGCTTTCATCCATTCCCCATATAGCCCCTCAACCAATCTATCAGCAACAATGTCTTCTGTTCGCTTAATGCAGGATTTGTCAATATGGCCTAACTTGCCACAATAATAGCATAGGCTTACCAACTTCTCGTATTTGAACTGCACTAGAGTAGTTTTGTTCCCAAGTTTGATATTTGTGCACCAGAGGAGAGGTTGATTAAGGTCCACTGAAACGAGCATTTTGAGGCATTTTCTGGCTAAATTTCCACCTTGAGGCACTAATACATCCTTACTTATTACGAATGCTTTGCCGATTTTAAGACCAACTTCTGCTGTGTAACACCCCGCTTATCAGAGTAACTTTTTCGCAACTTTTACTTTGAAAATACTTATAACTCTTTTGAAATCTTTTGCGAATAACTCGGGATGCTACTCAACCTTATCATCTTGAAAATCCGTTTATCTTTAAACTTTGTCTAATACCTCTTTTAGACATAAATAAACAGATTTCCTTTAAACTTGCATTTAACCATTTTCATACTTCTTGAAATAGTGAGAAGTTGAAATCATAAATTTATTAAAATGCAAATTCAATAATCATTGTGCATAGCGGAATTAACTGAAAGCGTAATTTATTATACAAACTTATCAAATACTTCATAAAAGTCCACTTAATAGAATACATGACCACCACCACCACTTTTTGAGCTCACACCTCTGGCCCGATCCTGTTACCTGAAAAACATAATGGGGGTGAGTACTGATCCTCTTGTACCCCGAAATTACCCATACTAAAGTAAACAACAATAATAATACGATATCATGATCTCCGGTATATAACTGGACTTAAAACTCTTCCAGTAACTCGAACTTCAGCTCACCGATATCTCATCGAATACTTGTGCACAATCTAATGGATATTTCTCAAGGCAACTCAACGGCCTCCATTAGAACTTTAGGATATACTCCGAGACAACTTAATGCCTCCTCATCCCAAGCGTATAAACTTAAACTTTTACATACCTCGGACATGATATCATATTATACTCAATGTAATACCCAGTCTGGGTCCCCACCTTTATTCTCGAAAAGTATTGAAAAATGAAAGTGTTGCTCTTGGTAGCCGAACTTCTCACGCTACATAAACAATATAAACAAATATACTAAGTACTATGCTCATAGTATTCTCAATAGGACATTTAAGTTCTTAACGTTAATTTATTATCAAATCTTAAAGGGATAAAAAAAACTTCATATAGCTCAAATGAACATTAATTCATCGAACAACTTAATTTCTCAACCTTTTACTCAAGGCCATCAAATGAATTCATATAAATCATGCCTTTAAGATATTGGCTTATTCTCAAATTATACTTTTAATACATATTCTTCAAAATTTCACATTAATTAATATAATGAGAAAAACTAAAGTCATATTATCATGCTTTATCTATAATCTTAGCAATTACTCAATTCAACTCATTTTAAGCTTAACTTTAGCATATGTATTCTCAACATATATTTAAAGTTACCATAAAAACTTTACTTTAAAATAATATTCATATCTTGAGATATATTATTTCAAAGTTGAGAATATAACAAAATATTCAATTTGCTAGCATACTTGTCTTTAAAAAAAATCTATTTCTCATCCTACAATTAACTAAAAATTCTAAAACTTTAAATCATAAGTCTCAACTAACTCAAGAAATATCCTGTAAATTTTCTCATAAAAATAATAACCATAAAGTGAGATATGAATTTCCAAATAATGCTTCTCTTGTTGAAATTCGAGATTTACTCACTTATATTCATTATTTTCTATAGCATGCTAAACAACTCCAATAATTATAAAATTTAAACTGGAAGTTCTTAACTAGTATATGAATTGACCATAAAATTCCCAACTCATAATAATATCAATAGATAGGGTAATTTCATCTCACAAGTCATCATTACTACACAGATTTTTCACTGGACAGCACCTTAATCAATGATTTTTATAAAATTCATTTTAACTTCAAATAATCTAAAACTTTCCAGTATTATTCTCAGCATAATGATGATCTCATATAAAAATTTTCATAATTTTTGGAATTTAATAGCTTGGTCAAAAACAACAAACATAAGCAGCTGCAACATGAACTTTAAATAATCTTACTTTATAATCTTATTTTATATACTTATATATATAAAATTTATAATTTATAAACATGATAACATATCAAAATCACATATAAACACATATAACTCTTAGATATAATTGATGATATCAAAGTTTGAATACATACCTCTTCTATTTATAAGAAAAGAAACTTGCTCTAAGCACTTCTCGAAATTGCTCGGTTTCTCTCTTAAATACTCGATTCTCACTATTTCTCTCTTATAACATAAATTCTGAATTTTTGAGGTGTAATTCTAACTTTGATGAATGCTCCTATTTATAGGAAAATTTTAGGGGACAAGCATCTCCAAAATTCAATTAAATATCATTTAAAATACTAATTTCTTTAACAAATATGCTAAATAATGTCCCACTCTTAATTTTTAATTTAGTTGACTAATATTATTTAATTTTTCAGCTCATCAATTACATAAAATATCATAACAATGAGTCATCATTAATATAAAAATTAAGATGCTTCAAATGATGAAGATTCTACAAAATAAAAATAATTTTCACAATTTATTTTTATTTTTCTTTTAATTTCGAATTTTTATCAAAAAAAATCTGAAAATAATTTTTAAAAATTATTTTTAACTTATATTAATATCTCTCATAATATATAAATCATTTACAAATGATTTAATGAGGAAAAACATGCTTAAAAATAACATAAACACTTTTATTTTTTTAATAATAGCATAAATTGTAAAAATTCACAATTAATTAAAATTATGCTATTCTTAATCTTTAAAAATCCATAATAACTAAACTTTTATGCTTAATAAAAATTTAGATATCAATAATAAAATTTTCGGAATAAAAAAATCGGATTTAAATTCCATTTACGATTGAAAACCGAAGATTTTATTATAATCTCTACTATTCTCGATTATGAATTTTTAACTTAATCTTGAAATACTTACTTATTATCTATACTAAATTAATCACTCTTACTGATTTACTTATAACTTTTTACTGTGGTAAATAACTTTTACTGTGATAATTAATTTTTACTGCGGTAAATAATTTTTACTACGGTAAATAAATTTTTACTGCGGTAAATCATTTTTACTGACTTACTAAAATATGGGGTATTACATGCTGTCTGTCAGTTAAGGGGTACATGCCATGCCTGAACCCAAATGTCGAGAATAGAGGATTCCGAGTTCTGCATGGAGATGCCCTCTTGCCATTATCGGAGGATTAGGAATTGATTTTCAAAAGTCCAGGTGACAACTTTGCTAACCTTTTGTTTATCTGCTTCGTCAGTGAAGATGAAGTGAAAGAAATTGCAACTTAGTTCTCTGTCAGAAACTTGTCCTCTGATATGCCACATTTGAGTAACTGCTCTGTGGAGCCCTAGTAGGTGGGCTTTCTTCTGACCGATTATCTTACCCACACGGCTTCTAGAACAGTCTTCCGCGTTGTGCTGAATATGCTCATTATCAATATCAATCACTTTGGTTTCGTTTCCAGACTGTTGAATGGAGTTAAGCTTGATTATTATTTCTGCAACCATGAACTCTAAACTCAGAGGCTCGCTGCAGGAATATGGGGAAAATCATATACCAAGAGACAAGGAAGCGACAAGAGAGCGGGGGAGAAGAATAAAAGGTAAAACCCTAGAGTGGCATACCTACCAATTGCTATGAAATTGAGAAGGAGAACACTTAATAGACAGAGGGAAGATGGAATGTCTAACCTGCTAAACATCGATTGAAACCCCAATGGCGAGGAAGAAGAAAGCATGATTCTGATGAAGCCCCGATCTAGGAGAATCGCCCCTCACAGTGAGAGAATTTTTTTAACTACTCTGCATTTGAAATTCATATTCAGTTTTCAAAAATCGAGTTCGCCCGATCAAATTGATTCCTAATATAGTAGCTCAGGATGCAATCCGAGTTTTGTTACGTTTTGTTATATTTTATAAATGACCTAAAAGTGACACAATAAACCTTAACAATGACCCAGTTAAATCAACTCAGTTGGCCCTACAAAACTTTATTTTTGCTGTAAATATATTTAATTTTATGGGAAATAACAAATTTAATAAATGTTAATACAAATGACAATATATCCTAATTATATAATTAAATATATTATTTCTTACTTCATGCATATCAATAGAAAATAAATATAATAAATATTAGTATTTTAAAATTAATTAATAGATTATGTAGTTGACATTAGGGCTGCACACGAGTCAAGCGGCTCACAAGCCACTCGGGTCAAAGATCGGCTCGAGCTCGAGTTTGACCGAACTCGAGCCCATATTTTAAATTGTCGAGCGGCTCGAGATGTAAGATAAATTACTAAAATACCCCTTGTATATATATGTATCATAATATTAGTATATGTACTTAATGGTAATTTTACAAAGTTTCTTGAAAATTTTTAAACCGAACTTGAGTCGAGCTCGAGCATTTTGATTTGAGTCAAGCTCGAGCCTAAAAAATCGAGCTCGAGTAGCTAAAAAAAATCAATCCTGCTCGATAAGACCAATGCTCTACTCGACTCGGCTCGTTTGCAACCCTAGTTGACATGATGATGTGAATACCAGCATGAATCAGTATTGGACAGAAATATTTTTCATGTGAAATTACTATGTTTGTAACTTACTTAAAAATTTATGGATTTTTTTTTTTACATGGTACCCCTACTTTATCTTATTTTCGCTGGTGGCACCCAAAAGTTTCACTTAATTTATTTGTGTACCAACCAGAAAAATGACATAAAATTAAAGAAACAAAATATGAAAAAAATTGCAGAAAATATCATTTCGAATTGAAGGCTCATATGAGTTCAAACATCTAATTGATTAAGTCTTATTGTTGCTCATGAGAAGAGGACCGAAATGAGAGATCATCCATCAAATTTGGATAACCAGTCGTCGAAAATTCTCGGTTGAAGTTTTCATCCGCAGTCGCGTACTACCAGAAATACAGAAACTTCATATGCGTCGTTCTGACTATCTAAAAGTCGGATCGACGATCGGGAGATACCATTAAGTTCCTTTTGAAAAGAACTTTCTATGCATATAAGTTTCACAAATAATCGATGGGCACATTGAATCCACAAGCTTACAGGCCTCGCTCGTGGTGACCTACCCATTACCTACCTTGGCGTTCCTTTTTACAAGGGCCATCTCACGAGAGCGCTCTTTGCAGACGTCTAGTAGAGGATGAACGACCAGATCTCTAGTTGGTTGCATAGACATCTCTCTTTTGAGGGGTCGGCTCGCTTTGATTAAAAGTACCCTCAACACTCTCTCCATCTTCTTATGGTCCTTGACCCTCCTGAGTCCTCTCTCCATCAGATCATGGCTCGTTATTTTTGGGGACACGGGGAGGGTTCCCGGTGGTGGAGACAACACCATTGGGTGAAGTGGGACTCCGTTTGTCGTCCTTTTTCTGAGGGTGGTCTTGGGATCCGCAGGTTTTCGAACGTTGTCAACGCCTTCTCTTATAAGATGTGGTGGCATTTAAGGGAAGGGAAGTCATTTTGGGCCCAGTACCTGCGAGAAAAGTACTGGCGTAGAGGTGCCTGTCACCCATGTAGGGTGATGGCCACCAATCAGGACAGTAGACAGTGAAAGCGACTGACTAGAGTAGGTAGGTGTGCTCAAGAGCATATCTTCTAGACGCTGGGTGAGGGAGATGTTAGCTTATGGGATGAGTGATGTTTGGAGAGGGACCCCTTTCGACCACTAGACAGATCACTCACTCCCCTTCTCTGCAGGTGAAGGATTTGTGGATCAATGGGACGTGAGATAGGGATAACTTAGAGAGGATTTTTGGTACTAGAGCTGGCTTTAGTTACCACCTTATAGAGCAAATTAATCCAGCAGATTCCTATCTTGGACGACGGTTTGGATAGTATGAGATGGAGACTTACATTTTCGGGTGCTTTCTCTACGTCCTCGTCTTGGGGAGAAGTTCGGTAGGGTGACCGGCCTAACCTTCTCTTTGGGGCTATTTGGATTGGCCTCCTTACCCCGACCAACTCTGTATTCCTTTGGCGCCTACTTTTGCGTCGGATTCCGATTGACTCTATGGTGCAGGCGAGGGGGGTTCTCTTTCCCCTTGTGATGCTATTGTAGTACTGAGACCATTGACTTCCAGACTGAGACCTTTTCCCATTTGTTTTTAGAGAGTGAGGTTGCAAGGAAAGTGTGGGAGCATTTTGCCACTTATATACCCCTTTCCACCACAGACAGTTTCTTTATACTCTTGAGTTTTTTCTCACAGCACACATACACTAGACACTTGGGCTTGTTCATTCCTTGTCTGGTTATGTATTTCATCCGGATAGAGAGGAATAGTGCGAAGTATAGGGCTATTACTTTCATGAGTTCTCACATTGTTTTGTTGGTTGATTGACATCACTCCCTCCTCACAGCTCTGGGTAGACTCACGCCTATAGATTGGACACCCCCCCCCCCCAACCCCCCGATTCATGCTGCCTCACGACCTAGAGCCGTTGTTTGGATGAGACTCGACCCCCATTGGGTTAAGCTGAACACCGATGGATCCTTCGACTGACTCACTGGAGCTGCCGGAGGAGGGGGCTTCATAAGGGATCACACCGGAGCTCTTATTTATCTTTCCATGCCCCTCTTCGGGCCTCCTCGAACTATGTGCCGAGATTCACGCGCTCCAGATCGGTCTCCAGGTTGCTACATCTATCTCTACTCACATTTGTATTGAGTTGGATGCTGCCGCTATTGCCACCCTCTTGACCTCGGGCCATCAGAGCTCATGGCAGATACAACACTCACTCATGCGCATCAGATCTACACTCCAGTCGGTTCGTCACCGGATCTCGCACATTTTTTGAGAGGGGAACCGCCCCGCTGACTTCCTTGCTAGCATCGACGCCTCCACTCCCCAGAGGGAAACTTTTGGCCCAGACGACGCCCGCTTCACCTCTGTACCCTTGTACGGATAGACCAGGACGGCTACCCCTCTTTCATATTTCGGTAGCCTTTTAGTTGTTAGACTCTTTTTAGTTTAGTTTTTTTAGTTTTATTGTGTTTTTCTTGTATCTCAGATCCTTTGGTGGGTCAGAATGTTCGCTTGGGCACCTTACAGCTCAGGATCAGACTCTCCGTTTGGGTGGATTTTCTCTTTTCCGTTTTTGGTTTCTGTATTTGGTTGGTCATGCGTAGACCTTTGTACACCTTAGTGCTTTTAGGGTTTTTGACTATATACATGTAGGAGATCCCGCCTCCCCCATCCTTCAGGGTGTTTCTTTAAAAAAAAAAAGTTTCACAAATATCCAACGATTGGATCTCCGGTGACATACCAAAACAGTTTACTGCGTAATTCTTTAATTTTTTTCGAAGCTCTAATAACGACTTAACAATTTTTGAGGTATCATATAATAAAATATAAACATGCTGTAGGATGGAGCTTTGAAACGATATTTTAAAATACACTAATGATAAATGAATGACGAACAACGACTAGTGGTGGTGGTCGGTAGCGGCGAGATGGTCGGATATTCAATTTTAGAACGTTTTTAGTATAATGACCCTATTTTTAGTTATTTTTATTATATACAATGGCTAAATACTAAATAGAACACAAGTTTTTAATGAAACAAATATATTATAATTTAAATCAATGTAATGGTATATAAATATTTCACACGTACGAGGTGTACGAGAAAGTCAACATATTTTTTTGCCCCATGCTTTAAATGTAGGGTTGATATTAAATATTTAATCAATCTATATATATATATATAGGGTTGGGTTCACATGAGAATGACTCTTAATGCGAGAAGTGAGAATAAATCGTAGCCATTAGATCAGATGATCTAATGGATAAAAATAAAGTCAAAATTATATCCTCATTAAGGGTATTTTGATAATTACAATTACACATCACCATGCCACATCACCCCCACACACTAACACACACAAAACACGCACACACACACACACACACACCAGATACACACAAACACAAAAGAAAAAACACACGCACACACAGTAATCAGTCTCTCTCTCTCTCCCTCTCTCTCTCTCTCTCTCTCACACACACACACACAAGCATAGACACAGAGCAGCATCCCACCCCACCATCACAAGATCCGCCACCGGTGCCGCCGTCGGATGCTTTCCCCCGCCGGCTTCCGATTTCTCCGGCGGCCGTCGCTACAGCGCCGTCGGTCTGTCGGATTTCCATCATAGAGGTCGACAACTTCAATCTTCATCCCATGTCCGTCGCTCTCCGCCTCCCGAGAACCAGTCGTAGTCCCGCCGCAGCCCCACTGCAAACTCGCCGTCGGACACGCCATTAACGCAGCGAGCGAGCTTTCGTCCCGACACAGCCGCCGTCATCGACATCGTCATCACTTCTCAACATCACGGCCCGACAGCTCCGGTTCATCGACGTCCGCCGCTGCCGACTCAACCTCCGCCGCTGACTCTCCATTAACGTTCTCCTATACCGCCGGCGCCATCAACGGGGAGCTGAAATTGTATAATTTGGCTCCAATTTCAGAACTTGGATGTGTTCGGTTCTTAAGATCCCCAATTTCTGAATTTGGATAGTGAATTATTTGATTTAGGGTTAGTGCATGTTTTTGTAAATTTGATAAATCTAAAGGATTTATGTGCAATTTTAGATAACTTTATTATATTTCAATTTAGTTCAAGGGAAAAATGTGTAGTTTAATGAAAATTTAACAAATACATAATTATTATAGATAAAATGCACATTATTTAGTGTGAGCTAATGGAAATTAAAATATACAACTTTGATTGAAATTAAAACAACTAAAAGAACCGACAAACTATATAAAACATATTATTTTTATACTATATATATTATTTATTTTCAACAAATGATATATAAGATATTAAATAAAAAAAATTAATACTAAATATATTTTTATAAAACAACACGTTGCACCTTATAAAACAACATGTTCTAAATCGCACTTTATATAACAGATTATCGCACTTTATAGAACAACACGTTGCACCTTATAAAACAACATGTTTTAAATCGCACTTTATATAACAGATTATCGCACTTTATAGAACAACACGTTGCACCTTATAAAACAACGTGTTTTAAATAACCGATCGAACTATATATTATCGCGCTTTATAAAGCAGAATATCGCACTTTATAAAACAACATGTTGCACCTTATAAAAAACATGTTTTAAATATATATTAAACGATTTATTCCTCACATTTATATATCGATTATTCAAAATAAATATATATTGTAATATTATTGCAATATTTCAATAAGGTATTAACTAAAATATCACAAATACTAAATATATTTATGTGTAAAAAAAAAAAAATAAGTGCACTTGGAATGCGCGTTAATGTTAAACTGATTGCACATTGATGACGGTCAGATTGCACTTTAGTATTACACGGATTGCACATTTATCGATTGCACTATAGCGACTGAATCAAGTTGAATTCGTTTTTTGTGTTCTAATTTTATATCGGATCAATTCTATATATTTACCTTTAAAATTTTAGTTATTTTTTGTAAGATGTCAGCTTTATTTTTTTTTTAAGTAACCGAAATAACCGGACGGACAAAATTATAGAAAAACTAATATTTTTAGTTTTTCAATCAAATTAAATAAAAGTTAGATAAAATATTAATGTGCACTTTATATAACATTCATGTGCAATGTAAGTATCATTAAAGTGCAATTTACATATCACTAATGTGCAAGTATTGAAATTTGTATAAATTATAAATTTAACCCATGGCCTAAATTGTAATTTATTAATATTTATAAAATTGCAATTCAATCCACTAAACATATCAAATTTTCAAAAAAAGGCCAAATTCCAAAATGCACAAATCTCATTCCAAGTGCAATTCATTCCTATGGTGCTGAGTGACGGCGGGCGACGGTAAGGTGGATCTGCGAGGCGACGGGCTGATAGACGGCGGACGGGGGCCGACGAGACGGCGGCAGTGGTGGTTCTCGCCGGCGCTGACGAACTGCAACTCCTCTGGTGCGTACCGCGGCGGAGACACAGTGGGTTGTTGCTCTGACTGCAGGTGGCGGGGACGACGTTAGTGGCGGAGCTGGTGGCGGAGCTAGTGGCGGCGACGGGCATGTTGTTGCGACTGTAAGAATGTTGGAGACGGCGGAGGCAGATGCGAATGGCGGAGGCGGGGCGAGGCTGTTGTCACCGGACGGCTGACGTGAAGCGACGGACTGGTGGAAGAAGGCAGAGGCGAGGTGGAGGTTTGTCGACGACGGCTATTGCTGTGGCCGTCGGGAATTCTTGCAGTCAGATTTGGAAGGGTTGCCGGAATCGGATGACGGTGGCGTCATCGGGTCTGTCGACGGCGGCGACATGACCAGTTGGCTTGTTGTGGAGGTTGTGTGCTCCTGTGACTTGACTGTGAGTCGCCGGCGGGTGGCCGGAGGGCCGGACGTGAGAGAGGGAGAGATAGATCGGGCAGGAGATAGTAGAGAGGAGAGAGGAGAGATGGATTTTGGGTGGAGAGTTTTGGGTGGGGCCCACTTATTTGGTTTTTTGGTGCAATTACCTAAGTGACCTTCCAGTTAGTTATTTGTCCATTAATTATTGCTATAATTACAATTTTGCCATTGTATGTTTGACCTTGTAACTCAATTTTGACTTATTCATGTTCATTGATCGTACCGATCCAATGGTCTATAATCATTCTTATTTCCCACATTAAGAGTCATTCTCATATGATCCCTTCTCTCTATATATATATATATAAAGGTTTGATTATTTTTTATATAGTAATTATTTCACTCCAAAAAAAAAAAAACTATTTACTATTTCGAGAAATTAATTTAACAATTTATGGTATACTTCAAATAATCACTTTTGGAAATTGCGGCTCATTATTTAAGGAAATAATTCATTTTAAGATACTTTAATTACTAAATTCGGCTGATTTATCCAAATATTGGAATTTCACTTATGGAAATTGCGGCTCATTATTTAAGGCAATAACTAAGCCATAAAAATATTCATTTATAAAGATACCTTAATTACTAAAGTCATGAAAATTTGGCTGATTTATCCAAATATGAGAATTTTGGCTGCAATATTAATTATGTGATTTGCTACAAAATTTTCAACTAAATTGTATAATTTATTAGTTAATTAGTGTTTTATTATTTTCATGTAATTCTTTTGTGAAATGCATTTTTAATATACCTTAATTATGCAAATTGTGTAAATTCGGCTGATCATTTATTCATAATGCAAATAATCATTACAATTATGGACACTAGTGCGTGGCCCGTGCGATGCACGGAAAAATAATATTACAATTGTATTATAAATTAAATACATAAATAACATTAATCATAATTTATCCATTGTTTTTAAATTAAACCGGGTTGCACACAGTCCGACCGGATGGATCAGGAACCGGTTTATAACCAGTCTAGTTCGCTTGAATAAAATATTTGCTCTGGAATCCGTCAACACCAGTCGGTTGGACTGGTAGGATCAATACGATTTTCTAAATAAATTTTGTTGTATTTAAAATTATTTTAAATAAAATTACATATTTAAATAAAATAGAGATTTATATATTATTTATCAATTAGTTTAAACATTTGAATTTATAAATTGTTTAGATATCTAAGTAACACATTTTATTTAAATTTATTACAAAAGTACTATATATATATATATATATATATATAAATGTTTATAAATTAAAATCTGAACAAACCACAAATGATTTAATAAAATAGCTTGATCGTTTCGATGACGATCCAGTTCTGAAAATCTTATATTTACTGTACATTAATAAAAATTATAATAAAATATTATTTAATTCACATAAATATTAACAAAATGATATATAAATATTCATAAATCATTAAACATGTTGTCATAAAAGTATTGTTAATACGGTTATTTGAAGTTTGGACTACATCACATTCACGTAATAACATATTTTCAATATAAAACTTATATTTAGGTTCAATAATCGATTTGATGTGGTCGAATTGATACATAACTTAGTCACCTGGGACCAACCAAGTTGTCAAATTTTTTGACTATTTTAATTATCACCGAAAAGTAATTCAATCAACCTGGGCAGTACCCTAATTCAATCACTCGATTAATCCGAAGAAATTTTCTTATTTTCTTTAAATATATTTAATTTTATAAAATAAAAATATTTTATGACATATAATAAATGTCTACACCAAATGATAGTATATTAAGATTATATATTATATATCTAAAGATGAATTAATTATTTTTACTTTATGCATATTAATTAAAAATAAACATAGTAATTTTAAAAAAATTAAGATTAATTGACTGACTATGCAATTTAAATAATATTTTTGGCGTTCAATATGTTTTTTTAACGGCACAAATATAAAAACCGAGAATCTAAAACTTTTGTTATATTTTGAATTGAGATTTTATAAATATAGAGACCGAAATTTTAATGTTGTTCGTTGTTTCTAAAAAAAAATAATAATAAAAACATACACATTTAATAAATCTTAACCGAATTTTTAAATAATAAAATAAATTAAAACCCGAAGTTTAAGGTAACATTTAATGTTGTATGATTTTTAAAGAAAAAAATAAGAAAAGTAATAAAACTTACTATATATAGGCTGCATTAAATTCTGACTTATTTTTTTGCTACTATTTTTGGTAAATGTTAATTCTTATTATATATATATAGATATTGTCAACAATTTATTTATATATATATATAAAGGTTCGATTTTATTTGAAATAGACACTAAAATCCCGGGTAAAAATTTTAAAATTACTAAACTTGGTAATATTTTTTGAAAATTTTCAAAAATTTCTGCCTTCAATTAATCAATTTTTGGGTTATTAATTATTACATTGAATAAGACCATCATATAATTTTGGAAGTCATTTGCGATCAATTGGTAGAATATTTTTTATCTAATTCAAAAAGGTCAACTTATAATCTTGAAACTAATTTTGCTATCAATGGGTAGAATATTTTATATCTAATTTCAGAATTCATGTCAATTTAGGATTTTTTTTACATTTAATTCCAGTTAATTAATTCCCCGTAATTTGTGAGATTTTAGTTTGTTCATATTTGAAATGTTAATCTGCTTAGTATGTACTTTTAAAATATAATGTATTCTTTTTGAAGATCAAAATGATCTTTTTACAAATATAAGTTAATAAAAT